TTAGCCTTTAAATATTATTCATTCATGATCAAATATTATATATTTAATAATTAATCCAGTAATTATAATGGCCTTTGCTTTGAAGACTGCACTCAGTAATGATGATCTGCTCCATCTCCTTTCAATCACACCTTCACACCTTTCGCGGAATTGGGGATCTTTGTGGAATTGACTATTTGCTGGACACATCTACTGATAGTCTCAGAACTGAAAATGAGACACCAGAGAGAAACAGGACTTGAGCCTAGACACCAGACTTCAGAAAAGTACACTCACTCATCATTCTCTGATTTGGTTTTCTTATTTCTGTGTCTTATCTTTAGTGGTAGAGATTTCATTACAATAATATCTGCATTTAAGATGTTTTCACACATCTACAGTCCATTTGGCTTTATGTCTGGGCTGAAATTCACGTTTGCTTTAAAACGTTTTACGAATTAACTGAGTCTACAACTCACAGATGGTTTTAGAAGAGTGTTCCTGAGGGGGAGTTATACAGAGGATGTGTGGAAGATTTTTGTCCACTGGAATATGTTTTCAGTGACCCTCTGTGTACATAATGTTTTTTCCACAATCCTCCCTGTAGACTTGCAACATGACATATGCCGATCCAGAACACTAGCTGATCCCAGTAGTAGAATAATATGACACTCCCTAAAATAGATGCATGCATGGCTAGAGTCAGTACAAAATCAACTATATGATCTGTTTTGTAATATCTTGGCCTGTGTATTGTAATTTTCAGTGTTTTTGTCTTAGTGTTAGCAAATGAGCTTTTAGTTGCTCATTAAACAAATAAGCCAAATCACAACAACAGTTATCTCACAGCGCTTTTCATAAAAGAGCAAGTCTAGACCGTACTCTATGATGTTATTTACAGAAGCCCAACAATTCCCACCAAGAGCAAGCACTGGGCGACAGAGGCAAGGAAAAACTTCTCAACTCTTGGTCATCCCAGCCAAGCAACGATATCATCAAACTAAAAATTGACTCCACCCAGGGTGGTGAGAAACTTGGGTGTCATGATGACCAACTGTCCTTCTCTGACCATGTCACCACTGTCTCTCGGTCGTGCCGCTTTGCTCTGTACAACTTAAGACAATTCAGGCTCTACCTTACTCATTACCCCACCCAGCTTCTGATACAGGCCATGATTATCTTTCGCCTCGACTATTGCAATGCCCTCCTAGCGGATCTTTGAGCTTGTGCGATGACCTCTACTTACTGCCCATGGCCTCCAGAATTAAATTCAAGTCACTAATGCTGGCATGGAAGTTGGAGAGGGGCAGGGGCGTCCCTCTCCAACTTTATGAAGCTCTTAAAAATTTGTCTCTTCCGAGAACACTTCCTTTTTTATAACACCTTTAACCGCTAACCTCAAACATGTACTGCCTGTGGTCTTCTTCTTTTATCTCTTTACAATTCTATTGTATTGTGTATTGTATGGTGTAGTCATGGACTCATATGGAGCCATATTAAGACAATTACAAGGTCAGCCTACTATCACTTGAAGAATATATCAAGGATTAAAGGACTTATGTCTCAGCAGGACCTGGAAAAGCTTATCCATGCATTTATCTTCAGTCGACTTGACTACTGTAACAGTGTCCTTACAGGGCTCCCTAAGAAATCCATCAGACAGCTGCAGCTGATTCAGAACGCTGCTGCTCGAGTCCTCACTAAGACCAAAAAGATGGATCACATCACTCCAGTTCTGAGGTCTTTACATTGGCTTCCTGTATGTCAAAGAATTGATTTCAAAATCCTGCTGCTGGTTTATAAAGCACTAAATGGTTTAGGGCCAAAATACATTTCCGATCTTCTGCTTCGTTACGAACCATCCAGACCTCTCAGGTCGTCTGGGGCAGGTCTGCTTTCTGTCCCCAGAGTCAAAACTAAACAAGGAGAAGCAGCTTTCAGTTATTATGCTCCGTATATTTGGAACAAACTCCCAGATAACTGCAGGTCTGCTGGTGGGTCCAGAGTATAACTAGATCAAAGTGGCCTGCCGGCAGAAATGTCCTGGTTTCTCTGTAGTATCCGAGGGTTTTTGGAGTTTCAGTGGACCCAAAGATTGCTGTGGACCCAAGTACAGACTAGCTAGAGAGAGTGGATTTAGTGTACTTCTCTGTTTATTCTTTTTTCAGAATAATTGTAACTCAATTATTTGCTCAACCCCTCAGCCTGTTTTTATTTTCCATTTAACTCTTTTAACCCTGATTGTAACACTATAACTTTTATTATATTTATGTTGCTTTTAAACTTTTTTATATTTCCCTGTTGCTTTTATGTTTTATGTAAAGCACTTTGAATTACCTTGTTGTTAAAATGTGCTATACAAATAAACTTGCCTTGCCTTGTATTGATTGTGCTATTAGTTAACCCTTACTTCTTCCCCAAGAAGCCGTATGTGCCAATAGCTCCTACTAGTATTTGTTTCTAGTGTTAATAGTGATCTATTGTCACTTGTAGATCTCTTACTTTATTGATACTTGCATGTTGTTTCACAAATGTAAGTCACTTTGGATAAAAGTGTCAAAATGAGCAACTAACAGTAACAACCTAATACCATATTACAAATTACATATGAGCAAAAAATTAAATGCAATATTTGAATTACAGTCTTTCTCCACTGCTATAACACTATAACTAGGCTTTTGAACTAAAATTGCAAAACCATAACTACATTTTTCAAAAAGCACACCCATTTCCCTAAACTCTACACACAAAAATTTCTCATTGCCTACACCATGTGGTCATTTCTTCAAATTATGCTCCTTTTCTCAAAACTCTAAACACAAATCCACAACTTCTCAATTCCCCAGACGTCCTATTTTCAGGTCAAAATGAAGCTCTCCGCTCAAAACCTTTCAATCTTGCTGAAAAACCAAACTTTGTCCTCAGACATAACACACAAGCCCTCAAAAACACACACACTACAACACAGTCTTACACACTGGTGAGATAAATTCAAAACAATACTAAGAAAACTGATTATTAGTAATGTTGCTTGTGGTTCTCCCTGTCAGAAACCTTTTCACATGATGAACACAACAAAACAAATAAAGAATGTAAACATTTGCACACATTTTTCATTCCTTAGTGTGCTGTACAGTACAACACACCAAACAACAAATTATTCTGCCCCAGCGTCCTGTCAGGGACAGGCCAGAGATTCTCATCCTCCACCTCCTTCTCTACCTCCTCCTCCCTCCTCCTCCTCTACCTCCACATCTTCCTCCTATATCTTCTCCTCCTGCAACTCCCACTCTTCATCTTATCCATTCTGCTCTTCCTCCTCCTCCTCCTCCCTGGCATCCTCTACCTCATCTTTTAGATTTCTTCCTTCAGAAAACAGAATGAACTGACTCTGGCCCTTTTATCTATCTATTGAAGCTTCTGATTGGTGTGTTATCAATTTTGACTGTTTGTGTTTCCACCTGGGTAGTTTTGTGCTAATTCAGCTCAAGCCTTGCTGAATTGAGTGAACAATCTTGAATGTCAGTGCTTTTTCAATGACCACATGGTGTAGGCAATGAGAAATTAAGGGATTTGTGTGTAGAGTTTATGGAATTATGTGTGCCTTTTAAAATATCGAGTTATGGTTATCACATTTATTTGTCTAATATTTCAGTCAATGTTTTTTGTAGTCAGGAACATTTCTGCAGTTAACGCCACCGCAAAATGTCAGTTAAGTACAACCATTTTTTATTTCAATCTTACAAATTTGTCAAATGTGAGTCAACTCTCAATCAGTAGACTTACTGCAAAACTGTGGAAGGGATAACAGCTGTCTCTAACACTAATATCTCTCTCATATGTTGATTTGACACAATAAATACTGACACGTTTTGCAGAAAGAATTAAATTTAATTGGATCCACAGATACATACGTGACACAACAATTTCGCTTTTATATAAAACATTTTGCTTTTTCTCATGACAGTGTTTGCAATGGGCCCCTCCTACCTATTGCATAACATTTTAAATGGAAGGACAGGTATAATGATGTCTTGTGTGTTTTTATTTTCACTTTTGAGTCACCTGGAGTGGAAGCATAAACACAGAGGAGAACACATCCCTCCACCTGCCCGTGTTTGTCTTTATAATATTTACTTTAATCAATATTTACAGCATACAGCGCTCTCTTACACATCAAACTGAATATCTGTTCTTGATCAAAAGTTCACTAGGAATACCTTTGTGAAAATCTTTGTTGGCTCCAGTGTGATTGAAATTAATCACACGAAAAATTTAATCCAGCCCAATTATATCCAGTTCATATCTGAGCTGAATCTAAATGTTTAAAAACACTAAAAGTGTTTTGTGTGGCACATTTTGCTTTCTGCATCATGAAATATAAGCCCTGATCTGCAGAAGAATTAAAATCAGGCCGTTCGTACATTGCTAATTTAGTGCTCAACAAAAAATATTCACACACATTACGTTATGAAACGAACAAAATTTCTGGCACATAAAATTACTACTCTTTTGTAGTCTGCACTGGCGTGTATTATGTTTGCCTTCATTCTTGAGAATACTGTATGACATTGACTGGAGCAGTATGATGATCGTGATCTGGAGGTACTTAGGTTTAAGTAAAACACCAAAAACTACCAGTGCGTCATGTAGGAAATTTTTATCGGAGTCAAAACAAGTCAAGAACTTAAATTAAGTCTCCACACAGGACAAATCCAGGTGCAGTGGGCATATGTATTTCTAATTACATATATACACACTTAAATATTGTTTCACCCATATTTCTCCATTTGTACATTCAGCCTGAGAAATCTGTTTAAAAAGGCGAAGGAGGAGGTTAGTACAGGCAAAAAGGAGAAAAGGAATGTGCATGAAAGAATCGATTTGATTACCCAATTGATGTAAACCCCATTAGGTTATATTATGATTTTCTTTGGTCATTTACAACCAGAATAACTTAAGCATTAGTATTAGCACAGTCTTTCTGTAGATCAGAGAATCCATCCTCTGTGAGGCTCCGGTGAATTTCTCAGTTCTGCCTTTATTGTTCCATGAACAAGACGTCAAGAATCATGCATGTTGAAGTCCACATTTAGTTTAATTTAACCAGTAGAGAAACAGCAAAAAAAACAAACAAGCATTGTCACAGAGGTTTTTGTAGGAGAGTACCACAAATGAGCATCCACTACTGCAAACAGACTAACAGACTACAAACATGACTCACGACGGCAACAGCAGTACAGATGGAAAAATGTGAGAGGGGTTGTGTCGCAGTGGAAATGCACACACAAACACACACACACACACACACACAAAACATCACTAGCGTTTCATTTAAATGTTTTTAATCATTCCTGATGTCTGAAGTTAATACAGGCTTTTAGGCTCAAGGTCCCAAAACCAATAAATATTCATTTGCAGCTGGGCAGGTTTAAACCGTATTTTCTGTAATGCTATACTCCCTCATTCTCTTCCCACTCAGGTTGTCTTGTTGGCACATGACAAACACTGATCTGAAACAATGATAAGCACAGTCAGTGAAAGTTTTCGTGACGAGGGCTCAGAGCAGGTTGTCCTCAGACACTAGTCTCTCCTATTTCCAGAGGGTATGTGTGGCACTGCGCCGTCTCCTCCAGACACACGTCCTCTGTGGCAGAGCTGCCGTGACTTGCGGTGCCTCTGTGTGGCAGGAAAGAGAACTGCAGGGTGTGTCTGCTCTTGGAGGACCTGCCTTTCCCCATCCCGTTGCTGTAGGAGACGACTAGTCGGCGGTTCTCCTCGGATGCGGCCGAGCGGGAGGGGCCTCTGTCAGCTTTGTTAAAGTGAGGTGAGTCACCACTGTGGTCACTGGCGGTGTTGTCATGGAGAAAGGGCAGATTGCCAGTGGCGACACTGCCGCTCTTGATGTGCGGCGTGTGGCTGTGGGTGTGGCGGTACTCCTCATCAATGTCCTTACCCAGCTTCCACCGCTTCCATTTTTTTAGCATCTCCGACTGTACCTGAGGCATGATGGGATAGCAGAGAGAGAGAAAGCAGATAAAGGAAAGATGCATGAAGATTTGCGTCTTTCCTTTATCTGCTATCCTACATCTAAAAGTTTATAGATTAGCTGATGGATGATGGCGTGTCCATCCCACTTTGTACACGAAAGGAATGAAGTGGGACCTGAACAAAGATGGAGCTTTTAGAGATATAAAAAAACTGATAAAGGAACACTCATGATGAAAAATGTCTAATGTATCTTCTCTAAAAAAAGAAAAGGATGGAAGTGCAGCAATTGCTGAGATTATATTATGGTGGTGCACTACCTCAAAGCACATTTATCTCACCTCTTTGTTGACAAAGCAGTACAGGATGGCCACCAGCAGGCCCTGAAATAGAAGGTGGAGCTTTAAATTTTCAGTCATGTCAGATACTGGAAAAGAAACAATTGTTATTTTACTGTGTATATTAAAGGATCCGCTCTAAATATAGAACTACATTGTTTACCACATGGGAAAGAGCCATACCATTGCATTGGGTGTCATATTCCCTCAATACAATTGACGTCTTAATTTTAAAGTTGTTTCAGAACAAACTACACTGATAGTAATGTGCTACCTTTTACATCAGTATGTGCCCTTGAAACCTGTTATAATGAGTTGAATGTTCGTAAAATCGGCTTTGCATATGTTTTATAAGGAAGGGAGTTGAAGGATCCACACTGCATTTTGGTGAGTAACACTGAATGTAAACAGCAACTTTTCAATGTACAGTATTTGTTATAGATTAACCAAAATGAAATGCTCAGTGCCCTAAAATCTGAGAGTACAGATGCATTTAAAGAAACAACAGTCTTTTAAATGGTCTTGTATGCCTGCTCTGACCTGGAAAGAGTTGAACAGTAGGTCACAGAAGAGGCGAATGAGGCGCAGCATGGAGCCTTTGGGACGGACTCGTCAATGACGAATGTAAAGAGGATGGCGTGAATCCCAAGCAGGGGGATGAGAGTCAGAGTGGACTTTGCTAATCTGGACCAGAGGAGGAAAGGGGAAACAGGGAAAAATTGTAAGGTTTATATTACAAGACAGCCACTAATCATTTTACTTAGTTTACACTATCAACCTTCATCAGGTAAGATTTAATCGTCAACAGAGAAATAAATTACACTTGTAACAATGGATCACATGTATGTGAAACATACAGAAAATTATCACCTCACTCTTCAGTCCCTCTCAGATCTTTTGGTTTGACTCTCATCAGTCAAAAAACATTTAAAGCACACCGTACGCCACCTGACCAGTAAATATCCTGGTGTACACCCTTCAATGTTTTTAGAACAATTCTCTCACCTGAACTTGTAGTCGGTGTATCTCATCTGATGCGCTCTAAGTTTAGACATCAGGATTTTGATAATTCGGATGAATATGAAGAAGTTAATCTGAAATAAGAAGAGGAGAGTAATACGCAAACAGCTATGAAAAATATGTTCTGTAGCTTTTTAGATGACATAATGTGTGTGAGAGAGGCAGAGACTTTCAAAAATGTCTCAAGGCTTTCTGTGCTCTGTGGGCTTTGAACTGGCAACACACACAAATTGTGATCTTGTGCAGAGCCCTCTCTGATGACAGAGAGCATTAATTATTACAGCATTCAAGTTAGTAGTGCTCCAAGTTTGGTATTGTGTGTATGTTGTCTTGACAGATGTGTTTGTGTGAATGTGTGAGTGCACGCAAACACAGTTTATTTAGGTGGGAACAGTTGACCTGCAGAGTTGTGTTTGGGATTGTTGCAGGATGAAATGTGACGTTGTGTCTGTTGCACAACCATAAAGCAACTATTTCAGTGACTACAATAAAGAGAATTTTTCCACAGGGTACGTTCTGTATGATTTACACAATCCAGGAAATCTACAGGTCTATGAATATTTTAGTGTGTGTGTGTGCACACGTACGTTTTTTTATGAGGTCACAAAGGTTGCTACTGTTACTGTTAAAGTGCACTTGTGCTTATATGTATGTCCATCCTTAATGCTGTTTGTCTCTATGGGAACAAGAGGCAGGAAATACACAAGAGGAACTTATTTGTGTGTCTGTGTGTGTCTGTGTGTGTCTCTGTGTGTATTTGTATCCATGTACAAGAACACCAAAGCTACATATTTCAATCTTCCAATCTAGGGTGGGAATCTTTGGGGAATTTTATGAATAAATTTGTTTTCAATTTCTTGAGGTCAAAATTTGATTTTCACTGTAATAAAGTGGTTACCAGATTTATCTAGTTTTCATTTTTATAAATCTGAGAGGTTGTGAGATGGTTAACAAGAAAGGACAACTGAAAAACTGATTTCTGCTTCACAAAATAATTTGAAAACATTTTAATCTTTTTTATTTATTTAGTGAATTCCTGGATAGTTAGTTAGTAATTCCTTATGCCTCTAAAACATCTAAAAATTACTTCAGGCACAGTGATTGACTCAAATAAAAACAATCAGCATTGAAATAAATGTTTCATTAAAAGGAGACATCTGTTCAATCAGTCGTTAAGAAACGTGTATTTATCAAGCGGCATTTTGTGGAGCCAGAATAACAGCAGCTGCTTTGTATTTGCACTTGTCACGACAATGTCCCTTACAAACAAACTTTTAGTGGTGCATTTAGTGGTGTCACGTACACCACAATACACACTTGACATAGCTATAAATAATTAAATAACACTATTGCGATCTCAAATAACTTCATAATAACAGGGAAAGTAATGAAAATATCCCAGAAAAAACAACAAAGACAACCCAGGGGGTTACATGGCAAACAAGATGATAATACACCAAAGGTGGTGTCAGTTTTTCCTCATTTCTCTGATTGTATTTCTGAGCAGTTTTCATTGACTTTGGAGAAATGATTACAGTGCTTTGAGTACTGAACTGAGGATTAGTGATCTCTGAAAGAATGAATTACATTCCACCTGTTGCCCCAATTACCCAATTAGGACACAACTGGCTCTTCATTTGAAACCCTGATTAAAGCTGCGATTACACTACACTGTGACATGACCTGCAAAATCGATGGAATTTTGGTGACGTAGTGACCAGTCACAGTTAGCTAGTTGATGAGCTACTGTAGCTGGCAAGCTAATTGTTAGCACCTGGAGCTTCTATCCAGGAAGATATTAAAGATATGCAGTGAACAACGGTGTGGATTTGTGCATTTTATATTGAATAAATTTGGAGCTACTCTAAATTCCTTTCTCCTCCCCAGAGAAGAAGGGGAGGGGTCAAAGTTGCTTTCTCTAAGTGCTATCCCGACCATAAAACTGGCACCTTTTTGATTCCGAAGCTGATAACGCGGGGCCTGACTGTTAAACTGACAAAGGGACACAAACCAGCCATTGGCCTCTCCCTGAACAGCCTATCTCCCTGAACAGCCTAACAGCCTACCTATCTTCGGCACGTGTTTGGCGTGCCTCGCCAGGCAACGCCCTCAGACTCGGCCAGCGAGACCGGCCTTTTGTTCGCCTGAAGCTACACACCTGAAGTGCCGCGACATCGATCTGCCTTCAGTTTGTTTTATTTTCTTTATTTCTTTTGTTTGTTAAAGTTATCAGTCCGTTAAGTTACACTGGACTAATTCAGGAACGACCAAGTGCCATTTTAAGCCTTTTCCGTCGAGCCAACTTCACCGAGGTCAGACCAAGCCACGTGGTCTCGCCAGCTACAACGAAGGAAACCTGAAAACAGCCGAATTACCAGACGGAGGAGGCGTTTTCAATCAGACACGGAAAACCCCGGAGAATCCCTAGCAAAAAGCCAGGATCGGGCAGCTAGAGTGGGACCCGTGCAACAGGCCAAAAGCAGGCTGTCGACAAGCAGTAAGACTTAACACACGTTCTGTGATCAGATGTCCATTTTAACTCCTAAATTATAGCATTAGTTTACTTTCATTAGCTCTTCTATGCCATATGAGTCAAATGCTTCCCACCATCGAACCTCCAGGCTCATTGTTCAGCAAATGTTTATGTTCCCTGTATCCAACCATCTTTTTATCACCTTAGTTAGAGAATAAATTCACTGTAATATAATAAAGAGCTGTGTGTGTTGCCTATTTCTAATTCCTGCCAAGAGAATTGACCCTTTAGATATGAGACTGACTGATTGATTTAAGATAATTGAGCAATTATTAACTAACTGATCACTAGTAATAATTGTATAATTATTCAAAACTACCTAGAGGTCCGGAGACTCTAGGATTATAACAACTCCGGTGGTGCCCTGAAACGAGGAAAATTTTGATTTTATGAATATTAAAATTCATAATTGGGTATCAATTCTCATAAATTTATTAAATTGCATAACTAAAATTTAGGTCTGCTACAGATATATTAAAGATTATTAAGATATTATAGAGGGAAAATAAAACTCACAGAATTTACAAGCTTGAACAGGCCGTTAGCACACTTGTTAGCTCCTTATCTTGGCTAGGTCACTAACTGGACATTAAGTTCACACAGTTTATTCAAAAGACTCTTAGTATCATCGACTCCTGTCTCATAACATACTTTCTATAAATTATTTGTGGAACAGTTTCTACTCCAAAGAGGTGGTTAAAGAAAAGTGGATGGTATAGCGCAGCCAATTAGGTATTATAGCTTCCTCAAAGGTCAGCTCTGTACTTTTGTTTATCTGGTCTCAGCTAGTAGACATATGCAACCGGTGCAGAAGCTGGCCTTAAGTGTCCCTGATATAGTCACAGTTGAATGCTAGAGGTCAGTCACAGTGCTGAGAGAAGGTCAGTCTATACCAGTGGTTCTCAAACTTCTTCTGTCATGCCCCCCTTCAGAAGCCAACAAAAAGTTCATGACAGCTGCTGTGTGTGTGTGTGTGTGTGTGTGTGTGCGCGCGCCACGGTAAACTGCCACACAGAGAATATGAGGTTTAGAGACAAACAGGCAGATAGAGATAGACTTACCAGATATGCAAATAGTATAGGAGAACGGATGATCCACCAATATCCCATGTTAATATTCCTCTCCCAGCACCTACACACAAAACAAATTTTAGATTGTAACTTATTGCTGTTATCATTGTGATCTTTTTTTAAGAGTCAACACATATTTGAATCATCCTCACTATAGATGACTTCTCACAGGACACAGATAAAAGCTGTTGCATCTAAACTGGAATTCACTTAATATGGCCATATCATGACAAGCAACTTACTCCTCATTCTCATACAGATACTTCACTGTGATCCACGGCAGAACGAATATGAGTGGCGCACCTGAGAATGACAGAGGTAAAATGTGAAAGTTAAAGTAATACTTTGTAAAAATGTTGAAACTGTCTTCATTTTACTAGTAGGTAGTGAGGTTGTTATAGCAATCTTCATTTTTAGTACAATTAATGTGTACAGTTTGCTCATGTTAAATCTTTAACATTGTTATCATGATGAAATCAATTTATTAAACAATGTTTTCTTATGATCATGAGCTCAAAATCTCATTATCTCAAGACAAATATTTCTATTTTTCTGTTACTTGAAAGGTCTCTAAACATGAAAGCGTCTGCCCGTGTCTGAACATGATTAAAGTAAAATCGAATCGGTTCACAAATCTGGTCTCTTCTTTGGACATTATCTGTCTGTTAGGCTACAATGATTCATTAACGTCAATTGAACAATCCAGTTAATATTGTGACAAGACCATGATTTATCATCTCCGCTCAGTGAGAATTTTCTTAATCTTGGAAAACAATGTTTCCAATGAAATCCATTGATAACTACAAAATGAAATTGTTTTCTCACAATAGCAAGCTGAAAATTTAATCGCAAAGTCATTATTTATTTAAAGACAGTGAGAAAATGAAGTTGTGATCTCAAGAAAACAGGTTTGAAGTGTTTAACAAAAGCTGCTCTGGGTTTATGAACATGTTTATGTGTACTATGGATTCTTTCATTTAGAAATAATATATTATTAAAATAAGTTGTAAGTAGATTAACAAGTATTTACATCAGTGGCACTATGATTTTAGATGTTCAGTCATATCTATGATACAGTCTTCATATTAAAGGGGAACTCAACTGATTTTATCATCTCTGCTTGAGGCTACATTAGCTGCTACTAGCATTACAGAACCAAATCTCTGACCAAATCGTTGGCTGTCAAGTTGCATTTTGGGTAATGTGGGCACCGGGTTTTGACAAGGTTCTGCTACATCAATTTTGATACTCACAAATACATTATTCTGATTGTCCCTCTATACACAATAGCCCCTAAATGTTGAACTCACTTTGTGTTGACATTTCAGAGCCTGCTATACCACACCTGTCCACTAGATGCTCTCAGAGATTTTTATCACTTCATTTAATTACCTGACTCATACTGAGAACTGTTATCTGTCCACACAGCTGCTCTGTATTTGCTCATTGGTCTGTTTACATACCCGCTAAATATTCCTGTACCTGACTGTTGCTGATCACTGTGTTCCTGTTTAGGGTACACCCTAAGTCTCTTAATTGCATTCACATTTCATTCACTTGCGTCTTTTCCTTGTGTCTGCTCACATGTGCACTGTGCTAGTACTAATAAAGGCACACAGTTACTGCAGAGCAGCATGTTTTCTCTAAGTAGATGTTACCAGTTTAACAAACAGCTTCACAAGAAGAACAACCTGCATTCTGTATTTATATTGTGTCCTGCTCAGAGGCACAGGATCATTTCTACTGTCAGAATGCATTTATATTTATTCATTATTGGCATCTGTATTTATTGATATTCTGATAGTGAATGAATTATTGAGTAACCCAGAATATTAGTTTGGTGTCTTTTTAACATTGGAAATGATTAATTAGGCTAAATGTTTCAGAGAAAATTTAAACGATGTTTGTGCTCATTTCAAACCCAACAGTCAGGAACTATCTGCCTCACATGTGACTAAATAGAAATGACAATAAATGATGTAAAAAGTGTTTCTAGCTGACAGACAGACTCTGTGACTCTCTGACTTTAATTGTATACATGATAGAAGTTAATGGGGGGAAAAACAGATCACAAAAAGAAAAATCTTCCTAATTAAAGAAGAAAGTTGTTTGTGGTCCATTTATTCTTCCGACCTACAATGAACACAGATCAGAAAAATTAAAAATATATAAAACTTGAGTTATACACTTGAGTAAAATTTGTTATCTGTATGAAACTCCAATAATGTTGTGATGTATCAGATCAGTCTGATCAGCTGTAGCGTCCAATCAATAACTTATATCCAAAAAGGGGACGTGTCTGCCAGTAAAAGGCTTCTGTGAAGACTGCTCTCATGTATCCACGCTCATAGCGAGGTTTTCTGCTTGCTCCTCACTTCATTAGCTGAAAAAAGAGCTTTGATAGCAGACCAGAATGACTTCCACTTCAAGTGAGAGTCGACGAAATATCAAATATGAGACTTGAGATGTACCCACTAAGATGGACGACATGACAGCTCCCCAAAAGTGAAGCAAAAATATCTCTAGAGATGGTCTGTCATATTAGGTCATTCTTGTCATGCTGATGTACAACCCCAATTGAATACACCACAAAGACAAGATATTTAATGTTCAAACTGATAAACTCACTTTGAATTTGATGCCTGCAATACGTTCCAAAAAAGCTGTGACAGGGGCATGTTTACCACTGTCACCTTTCCTTTTAACACTCAAGCGTTTGGGAACTGAGGACACTAATTGGTGAAGCTTTGTAGGTGGAATTCTTTCCCATTCTTGCTTGATGTACAACTTCAGTTGCTCAACAGTCCGGGATCTTTGTTGTCGTATTTTGCGCTTCATAATGCGCCTCGTATTTTCAATGGGAGACAGGTCTGGACTGCAGGCAGGCCAGTCTAGTACCCGCACTCTTACTACGAAGCCACGCTGTTGTACCACGTGCAGAATGTGGCTTGGCATTGTCTTGCTGAAATAAACAGAGACGTCCCTGAAAAAGACGTTGCTTGGATGGCAGCGTATGTTGCTCCAAAACCTGTATGTACCTTTCAGCATTAATGGTGCCTTCACAGATGTGCAAGTTAGCCATGCCATGGGCACTAACACACCCCCATACCATCACAGATGCTGGCTTTTGAACTTTGGGCTGATAACAATCCGGATGGTCCTTTGCCTCTTTGGCCCGGAGGACACGACGTCCATAATTTCCAAAAACAATTTGAAATGTGAACTCATCAGACCACAGCACACTTTTCCACTTTGCCTCGGTCCATCTCAAATGAGCTTGGGCCCAGAGAAGCCGGTGGTGTTTCTGGGTGTTGCTGATATATGGCTTTCGCTTTGCATGGTAGAGTTTTAACTTGCACTTGTTGATGTAGCGACAAACTGTGTTAACTGGCAGTGGTTTTCTGAAGTGTTCCTGAGCCCATGTGGTAATATCCTTTGCACACTGATGTCGGTTTTTAATGCAGTGCCGGCTGAGGGATCAAAGGTCACAGGCATTCTATGCTGGTTTTCGGCCTTGTCGCTTACATGCAGAGATTTCTCCAGATTCTCTGAATCTTTTGATGATATTATGAACCGTGGATGATGAAATCCCTAAATTCCTTGTAATTGTACATTGAGAAACATTGTTCTTAAACTGTTGGGCTATTTGCGCAGCTGTTCACAAAGTAGTGAACCTCACCTCGCCTTTGGGGGATCCTCCTTTCATACCCAATCATGACACTCACCTGTTTCCAATTAACCTGTTCACCTGTGGAATGTTCCAAACAGGTGTTTTTTAGCATCCCTCAACTTTCCCAGTCTTTTGTTGCCCCTGTCCCAGCTTTTTTGGAACATGTTGCAGGCATCAATTTCAAAGTGAATGAATATTTGCAAAAAAACAATAAAGTTTATCAGTTTGAACATTAAATATCTTGTCTTTGTTGTGTATTAAATTGAATATAGGATTTGAAAATGAAGGTTTTATTTACGTTTTACACAATGTCCCAACTTCATTGGAATTGGGGTTGTAAGTTCAAATGTTAATTTATCTCCTTAGTTTAGTTTTAATGAGTTATGACGGAAAGCTGAGCCCGCTCGCGATTGACTCAGCCGGCTGTATGGGCGGGACCTCGTTACCTTGGCTCTATTAGTACCATGCAGATTCAGTTGACTCAGACTATCCAAGATATTTTGGCTTAAATTTTGTACAATTGGAGGAAGTGGAGACACGTCATCCATCATATACTCTATGGTTCCTGTTACCGGCTACATGACAGAGCCTGTCAGAATGCTGTTTACTCTTCTCAACTAAATGACCAATATTTGTCTGTCACAAAAGAACAGAAATACAAATGTTTGTATTTGTGTAATAACCAGAGCAGCATTACTATGTGATTGTCAGATCCTGTGTAAGAGTGGTTCTTACCCCAGCCAATGGCCAGGTAAATGTAAAAGTACTTCCTCTCGCTGAACACGGTGATGACTAGCAGGCTGTGCAGGTAGATGCCCTCCACCAACAGCCAATAGTTGTTGGCCATCACACTGTACTGCATCATCACCATGGCACCACGGCACCATGTCACAGCCTGACACATGACACAGGATGGGGTGGTGAGGATACAATAAGCCAAGGTGACATGTTCTCTTAAAGTACAAAATGTTGCTTTAAATCAAAGCTCCACGGCTGACAAATACTCTGCTTCAGCTCAGTTGAATCAACTCTGAGTCAGACTGCAACACAATACAATGTTCAAACCTTGGCTTACAACAGCACTTCATAAGACAAGGACTGTAGCTCTGCACATAAACAATTTTATTCTGGTATCCAAATATATTTTTCTCTTTGATCGCTATCCTTTACAACAAATAAGGTTACAACATTTCAACATTAATTAATTTCCAATGTCTCTTGCGTCTCAGTACAAAAGCAACAAATCACATTTATGGTACATTTATAATTGCTTATTGCTTAAACTTAATGTGGATTAATGCTAACACAATGCTATTTGTATATGACATATACTGTACATTCCTCCAATGCAAATACGGAACAGCTAAGCAAGAAAGGGGAAATCTGTATGTGTGGGCATTTCTAGATTTTCTCTTCCTACCAGACATGATGTTTCACAAGTCTGAAGTGACTTTGTGTTGCCTTCTTTATGAACTGAGAGCTTTATTTTCCAGGAATAGACACTTGGTCAAAACATGAATTACTGGTTGAGGTGCTCGACAAATAATATTTGGGAGAATATCTCCTCTTATTATATATTTGATGTGTCTAGACACACCCAATCAATACCAAATCAGTACCTTATTAAGTTACATGTGTGATGTGTCTGTAGAACGCAAAAACAACATTGAATCACTGGGACACCCAAAAAGATACATGATACAGATATTCAAGAAATATGGAGTAATCTCTGAATGTGTATGTGGCACTATCCTGTGTCTCACTATTATGTATGTTCATATACTGCAGTGAAATAAGTTGAGGTAGTGCTACGAGTTTGTGGATCAAGTGGTCACTTTGATATTTTTGTTTTAACACGATATATGCTCTTATCCTAACTTTAATCAAGTGGATGTAGTTGGCGAACTTTAACCGTAACTTAACCACACGGTAACATCTAATGAAAATTGCTTGCAGTGAACATTTCCTTTAAACAGGTGTTATGACCCTGGGGTCATATTTTGTTGTTTGTTTATCTCACCCTGCACTTTCAGCTGTCTCCTCCCCTAGAGTGTGTGTATACAGGTAATGAAGAACAGGTGGGCACGCTGGGTTGGTCCTGCAGAGCTGATTGCTGCCTCCTGATTGGTCAACTGGATGACAGCACCATCTTAAATCCCACTGATAGGAACTCTCTTCTCTCTCTCTCTGACATTCCCAACTTGAGCCTGTGTACTGTGTGTTATGTCTGTGTTCATTGTAAGTAGATAACTGTTGTGAGCATATTAGACTTTGTTAGTGAATCTGTGTAGTGAACACATTAACTCTGAATAGCTTACCTTAATAATTCTGATTATTGTCTTATGGTAACCTTGTTTTGTTGGCTTTAGCCATTTTGTTTGCTACATAGCAATTTTCTTTCTTGTAGCTTATGGTATCAACTACTAGCATTTTAGTAAGAGTGAGAAGCCCTTTTTGTTTGCACCCTTTTTCTCCTGTTGTTGGAATTAGAAATCTACTTTACTTTTTGGTTTTTGGGATAGGAGAGTTTGAGGATTTCTTAGAGTGTTTTGGTTGTTGTTTTGGGCACTGCTCATCTCTGAAGCAAATAAAAACTGCTAAATTATATTTACTGTGTTCTGGCATTGCTAGGGAATGGGAAGAGTGGGAAGCCACACATTTATGTTACATCCTGGATACCTCTAGACCTTGGGACGTAACGCAGGTATTTCTCTCACACTATATAGTTGCACATGAAAACAATTCATAGCAGATGAGGTTGGTGTGGTGTGTTTGCTCTGACCGGTATGTTGACCCAGGCTTGTTTCCGGCTGTCACTGCTGCTTCCAGGGTCCAGTGTGAGGGTCAGCAGGGCGTCTTTAACCAGTATGGACACGGCTCTCAGGATGAAGGAGGCAAACAGGTTCATGTGGATGTTGTTCCTCATACAGTGGAGCTTCCTGGTGCAGAGTTGACAGTGTGTTGACGTTTATATGTTGTATTCACTACTCTGAATGCAGGAACATGACAAAAACGATTTTTCCTATCCTTCTTTGCATCCCTTGCATCCTATATATTTAGCTTTCCATTTTTGTTCTTTAAATTTTTCCTTCTTCATTTTCTTTCCTTACTTTTTATTCTACCTTCCTTTCTTCTTTCCTCCTTTCTTTATTCCTGCTTTCCTTTCTCTATTCCTTCCCTCAATCTTTCTTTCTCCATTTTTCACCTTCCTTCCTTATATCATGATTCACCACTGTCATTAATTGCTTCATTGTTACCCTTATTTTGTTCTGTTATTTGTTTCCCCCGTCTTCCCTTTCATTCTCTTTTATTTCTTCCTGTCTTCTTTCCTTCATCTCGTTGTTCTTCACCCCCTTCATTGATTCATTGCTTTCCTTATTTCTTCCTCCTTGTCCTCACTCCTTCCTCTCGTCTTTACTCCCTGTACATGTTGTACCTGAAGGTGATGAGGATTCCCAGCGCTAGTAGAAGAGCCCCGAGGGAGAGCGAGTAGCCCACTGTGTACATGATCCGTAACTGACTGAGGATGCGGCCATACTGCTGCTGTAGAGCCAACAGGAGAAACAGAGTCATTTTCTTCCATGCATCTGCCAACTTTAAACATGCCCCCCAACACCCACCCACACACCCCCATTTATACACAACCATGCACAAAAACAAACTGTACTGTATACACACACCTCACCAGGGTCATCCTCACATTCCGTGGTATTCTTTTGCGCCCATTGACCATCTTCATTGCAGACTCTGTAGACCAGACCCTGCTGAACTGTTCACACAGAGACACACACTGAGATTTTATTTCAGCATAGCATGTTTACCCCCACTGTTCAGAAGCTGCTAAATGCCTAGCAACAATTTCTTTATGAATAAATAAATATTTAGTGATATCTCAAAAAAAACAGACATTTTTGATCAATTAAGTTCCTTCTTGGTCTTGGATACAATAGTTCAAAAGTCTTAAGCTTAACGTCCATAACATCAAGCTTTTTCTGAAGTGTTCAACTACATCTTGTAGTATTCCTCAAGGGAAGGAATGTGTTGCTAGGTTGTCATTCTCAGGTGACCCAAGTATAGAGCTTCGGTCATGTGAGCAAACAACTGAGAAAACTTCACCTGTAGAGGAAAACCACATGGCTGGAAGCTCCATGATAAATTAATACTTAGACATTTTGGAAGTTCTGGAAACATTGGGGAAACGTTATAGCTCCTTTGTTTACGCCATCTAAATGTGAAACAACAAAAGTTGTGGTTGCGGGTAGGGTGGGGGGGTGGGTAATATGCCAATCTATTTTCTTGAGTCTGCTTGTTCCCTGGGCAGCTGCTCTCAGTCATGAAATAGATTTTACGCTTTCATTAGTGAGCTTTAGAGGTTCGGATCTCTGGACAGAGGCTAGCTGTTACCCTCTGTTTTTAGTCTCTGTGCTATGCTAAGCTAACGGCTGCTGGCTTCATATTTACATATTTACAAACAGATAATATATATCCAATAATGATAACATAGATCAATATGAAACCTTACTTTACTCTATAAATGTTGCTTCTGAGATATCATTGGGCAAAAGTTATACATGCTCAGTTAACAAAGACATTGTTTATACAATTTCCAACCAAACTAATAGCCTGAATAGGGCAAGGGTCTTAGGGATGCAAATAACTTACTTTTATTATCGATTAACCTGCAGATAATTTTTTTTATCAATCGGTTAACCATTTTGTCTATAAAGTGTAAGAAAATATTGATAAAAGTCCGACATCTTTGGCATCTTCAAATGTTTTGTTCAACCAACAGTTCAAAGTCCAAATATATACAGTATAAATGAGAAAAAAAGCAGGAGGGAACAGGAGGCTTAGGACTCTTTCTATGCTTTCTGGAAAGGATAGGGAGAGACCCCCGTCAGGCTACCAGTCCACAGGAGATAAGAGAGTCAAGCTCACTTTAACACCTATTTCGGGCCTCCAAACCACCTGGAGGGCCCATCATGCTATGACCTAACACTGTTCTGAGATACAAGCCTGCACACCAAGGGCAAATGAAAAAGCCCCGCAGGATAGGTGCGCTGGCCCCCGAGACACAGTGTGAACTCTCAGCACCACTCTCTGGTTCGACAGTTGAGTGAAAGCTGACTAATATTTGGCCTTCACACCGAATCAATGCCTCATGCACTCTCCGAAACCACTGTACACTCAATTCACTACAGCATTCTCCCAAGAGGTTGTTGGTTTCTTTCATCCCACTGAATGACAAGGACATATGGTAAGATGTGTTGCAACTATATTTTCCATTCACCGCACAACATGACTAGATAAGAGCACTTTGAAGAGCTCTTTCTCTGAAGTTCTGCTCTCACATCTTGTCACCGGACGGGTGTTGTGTCCTACATTTCTCAAACAAACAAACTCACTACTTCAATTACGTAGGACAAGGCCTACCTAGCAGGTTAGAAAACGTCTCACATCCAGCACTGTATTTATCATGCGGGTGTGTTGAAGAAGAGCTCTGGCTTGAAAAAAGGATATAGTTTCTGTACACAGCTCTTGGAATGAATTTGTTTCTATATTCAATCTATCATTTTAATGTTTCTATAGAAAATTTCACACAAAAGACTAGACATTTACTTATTCACAAAAGCAGAGTGTGTCACGAGGTGGACCTGCTGGTTTAAGTAAATACTGTATCATGGATTGTTTGTAGCCTTAATTGTTTTTATGCTATTAAGTTTCTAGCTATCCATCTACAATATGACTGGTCCAGTTAATAATAATCCAGACACTAAAGTGTCCAGTAAGCCCAGTTTAACCTGCAGGAGTTTTCTGCTGGCCAGTGTCAAAAAAGAATCTCCCAACATTTTTACCTAAAAAAAACCAAAAAACATCCGTCTAGCAGCAGGAAAATTCAGACTCAATTTCATCTTTGATAGAAGATGACAAGGCCATAAAGACAATCTGAAAAATGCAGTGAAATAAAATATTTCTATGGTCACAAAACTGTCATCATCAGATCATATCAGGAGTACATCATTGAACATATTAGGTATTACCTTTAACCAGAGCAGTTACTCAGCTGAAAGCTTTGGATATTACCTAACAATGAATTATCTGGTTTTTGCTGATTCTTTGTGAGACTTCTTAGTGATGCCTTAACTTTGTTGTTTTTTTTAATTTTAATGATTTACTGTACTATTGTATAATTTAAAAGTAAACACAACATCAGATATCGTTTATTACATTAAAAAAGCCTTCATCTAAAAGCAGGTGTTGCAAAATTATCTTAATTATATAATAAATATCTGGCTATTTAGGTGCTGTTCAGCTAGTCGCTAACTTTGTCTGAAGGCTCTTTGGTGCTGAGCAGGCAGTGTAGAGTTGGTTTATCAGATCTTGGCTGCCTGCTGCGGCCTAAAATGATAATGATGAGAGTGATTACAACCAAAATAGTAAATAAGTAGCCTCAAAAACCAAAACAATCAACTGAAAGATGTAAAGATGCTCAGTTGACTTGAGAGCAACTGCAGAACTGACTGTTTGTCACTAGTGACCCCTTTGACATTACAATATGAAAATATTGATTAGTCAGCTTTAAATTTTTGTAAGAGTTGCGTAATTATGAAATCCAAATGCCCAGTACAAATTTCTCTTGCTGTCTTTCTTATGTTCTGTCTTGCTAAAGCACATCTGTAGCCACACACCCCACATATACTGTGCATACACACTCACACACAGACCTTTATGGTACCATGGCAAGAACCATGGGCAGGAGACATTGACAGTGGTTCCTGGGAGTCCATCAGGCCAGCAGGCATACAGATCAAAGGTCCTGTTGCACACCAGCCCTGCAGTGGAGAACAGGTCTGTGAAATCTGTGCTCTTGGCTTAAAGCAGGTCAAGCATACTTCATTCTCCTGAAGTCTCTCATGCATCTCATTCAGACATGAGCTCATGCTAGGACGAGAGGGGTTCACCTGTGGTGGGGGGCGTGGCATTGAGGACGTCCAGGCACTGGTTTTTGTAGCTGCTCCACTGCTCCTTCACAAGCTCCAGGGAGTTAGTAGAGGAGACCTGTAAGAGGAGGAAACTTCCTGAAGCTTCATGTCATCACATTTCAGCAATGCCACCACAGCCTTCCCCCATCATCTAGCTCTTGCTTAAACTTTGTAGACTAAGTCAGTCTACAGTCAGTCTGTATATGGGTGTGTGAAAAAGAGACAAAGGCTGTGAGTCGTACCTTTGTGCAGCTGCAGAGCATAAGCAAGGCCAAGAGGAGACACACCTGGGACATCCCACTGATGCTGGGAGCATGGGGGTCGGTGGGGACAGGAACACAGGGAAGGCTGGACACATGAAACCCTACCTCACCATGTGGCCTACACACACAATATGGAGAAACTTGTTAGTGGGAATAATGTGTGTGTGTGTGTGTGTGTGTGTAAGGGGTTGTTTGAATCACAACAAATCATTAAGAATCAACGAACAGCAAATAACAAGCAACAATCTGTGACATAGTGACTTCTTTACTTTCACACTCACACACATGACAGCTGTCAGATGAAAACCATCTACCTCCACAATGGCAAAGAGCTAGGATCACAGTGATCATGTGTGAGCTCATCCAATTGGTTTCATTAACGCAAACGGTTGAATCGTTTTCCTCCTCCTCTCCATGGTTTTCACATACATTGAAAACAACATCACAAGTAAGTTATGCATTTATGTATGATACACTGTATTGTCTGTTATGCAAAAGGAAACAAAAGCATTGTTCAGATGACTGGATAATGGGATTGGACAGCAGGGTTAAGTGGGTCAGGGGAGAGGAAGGTGCCTTCAGGGAGAATATACTACCCTCATATCTGTAATACCTTCTTTAAAGTCTGCGGAATGAAATCTACGACATTGAGTTATGTTACTGTAAATAGCTAGAACTCCTTGTGTGTGTGTGTGTTGAATTTCCTGGCAGGTGCATTTCCTGCGGCATCAGTTGACCACTGTCACCCACGAAGTTGGAGAACAAAACGGAATCTGAAACGTTTCTGCAAAAAACACCTTGACCATGGAAACATTTTTGGCTAAAACGTTTCAAATTCCATTCTGGTCCAGTCTCTGTGCTTCTGTTGAAGTGTGTGAAGATGATGATGATGATGCATTTGCGTCAGGCTCTGCATGTTTGTGTCCTTGGCACTGAACTGCTGTACCTAACAGAGATCTAAGCCAAACATGCAAAGCCTGTCATGTCATCCCAGCACAAAGATTAGCACCTACATTTTAAAAGGACTACAGGGTAAACAACTAGCGAGCTGCTGCTGTGTTTTCTTCCTGCAACTGGCCTTTTATCTTGCAGTGTTACAATAATAACATTCCTCTTTATGACCACATGCGGCTGAGCAGCAAAGCTGGAGAGACAGAGAGCAGAAGGACAGACAGTTTAGAAGCACCTGCAGGCTGGCACACAATCTGAGATTAAACTCTACCAGGATGAAATACGTTTCATGATCAAATACACTGAGGAATTCCTCCGTGAATGATATAGATATGAATATGAATTATCAAGGCAGCTTTGGATTCCATGCACAAGATCAGTCAATCAACAAATGGCTTTAATCCCAACCTCCCTGGCACCAAAACGTCCCGCATTATTCAATCACGCTATATTTCTTATTGTGAACAAATCCTATAAAAACTCCTAGACCAACAAAGAATTGATGTTACTAACAAGTATTGTCTGTGAATCCATAACCGGATATATCTTGATATAATCAATGAGCCACACTGTTGGACTGTGCTTTCAGACCAAAAGTGAAGCGAGCATTCGTGGCGGTGAGTTTACATACAAAGTCAATGCAAAGACATGTAGAGCCACAATTTCCTGTGGGGCGGCGCAAAGCGACACGAAGGGGGTGGTCCCGGTGAAGGCTTTCGTGTGAGTTGAAAATTTCCAACTCAAGCAAATTTTCGCAGGTTCTAATCGCCTTCTCGCGTTGTGTGTGAACACAGCGAATGTACTCACGCAAGGAAAGCGTCGCAAAGATTAAATTTGCTTTAGGTCTGAAAGCACCATTAGGCTATGTTGGGCAGTAACGTGTTAAAGTAATATTATTACAGTAACGTGTTACACATTACAGTAATAATATTTCTTTCCCCTGTAACTAGTAGGCTAGTGTAACTAATTACTTTTCTTGCCTGTTTTGATTTTGGTTTCTCTGTGTCTGGGTTTCATTCCTGTCTATCTGTGGTCTTGTATCCAGTCTTCTACTTGTTTTGTGTGGTGGTTCTGAGCTGTCCTGTTATCTCGTTGTCTGTCTTAGTACTTTAGTTCTGTTCCTGTCCCTCATGTGTTAGTTTCCCACCACCATGCTTGGGTTCCGTCTGTTGGTTAGGTGTCATTTATGTTCTCTGCTAGTTTCAGTAATCTGATTTTGTTCATTCAGCTCTAGTCTATGTTTAGCCTTTATTATTCATCCACATCTTATTTAGTATCTGTCTTGCCTCGTATCTTAGTTCTTAGTCCTGTACCTTAGGTCTTGTCTTAGTGTTCACTCCTGGTCGGTGTACTTCTGTGTTTTGCCCATGTCTGAGCTCTGTTTTACCTTAGCTTCTGTCTGTGTTCCTTGGTGGTGTTAGTTCATTTGTGATCTGTCCGCTTGTTTATATTACTCTGATGTTTAGTGTTGAGTAATCTGTAATCAGTAATCTGCCTGCCTGCTAGTCTCTCTGTTTTCCCTTCTGTCTCTCTGCCTCGTTAACCCTGATCCCTGTCACCTGTGTTGCTCCTGCCCTGCTCGTTAGTCACTGTGTATAAATGTCTGTTCATTCCCTGTCTGGTCATTGTAGCTTGTATGCGCTCTGTCCCTGGTTGTCTGGTTGTCTGCTTGTCTCCCGCTTGTCTCCCGCTTGTCTCCCGCTTGTCTCCCGCTTGTCTCCCGCTTGTTCCCCGCTTGTTCCCCATCAGTTCTTTGGATTTTGGACCATGCATCTGTTTCTGGATTTTTCTGTTGGATTAGCTTTGTTTTCTTGGACTGTTATTTTGGATTCCCTCTGCTCAGCCACTCTGTTTGTAAGTGTGCTTGCCCTCAGTTTGTTTCATTAAACCTTTGAACTATACCTGCTCCGCTCTGTGTCCTGCGTTTGGGTCCACCACCCTGCTTCCAACTTGCTCACCACACACAAACTTTGACATTTCATAAACAGTAATATTATTACAGTTATAATTCAAGTAACGCTGCTTTACTCGTCGTCTAACATAAATTTTGTGCAACCAGCAAAAAGCTTTCAACCGTGAACAACTCTACATCTGATTTATTGAAGCATCTGCAAAAGTAGCACAGCAACGTCAAACTTACAGAAAGAAACTCCGGCCGCAACTTTCACTGATGCTTGAACTCGCCAAGAGAAAGTGGCGTTAACGTAATGTTTTGTAACTACTGAATACTGTTTTTATAAATAGGCTACATGTGCAGAAAAAAAGCTGTTGCCGGTGGTGTTAAACGTTAGGCCTAGGCTATGATTTGTAAAAAACACACTTGCTGCTGTTATGAATATGATAGGCCTATTAGTTAAAAAGTTGAGAGATGTTGATTTTCTATTTTTTAGGCACCTCCTCTCGCTTGCTCGCTCCCTCTCAGTTGTGAAAACCGCTACACCACCCACCCCCTGCACTGTCATTCTGTAGGAATGCAATAAAGTAGTCTGAGTAACGTAACTTGTTACTTTCATCACCCAGTAATAAGTTGTTTTTTTTTTTTTGTTGTTTTTTTTTAGGAGTAATAAGTAACTAGTAATATATTACAATTTCTGAGTCACTTGCCCATCACTGCTCTTAGGGCCGGGCGATTAATCAAGTTTTATGTTCGACTACAATTTTGGCTTCCAACAATTATGAAAACAGGATAATAGAGATATAAAAATCATTGTGCCATATGCAGTTTAGCAATGGTGCTCTCCTTTTGTCTTGTGTTATAAAACCATCTCCATCCCCACCTCTTTCCTTTTGGCTCTCACCCCTCCTTAAAAACCCAAACTCACTCTCAGCCAGGCTGCAGCATGTTCAGTTTAGCTCGAGCCAGGTTGACAGAAAGAGAGCCTTTGGTCAACAAGAAAGGTAAAACCAATTAAGCACTTGGGTTTCAAGGAGTCAGACGAGGAACAACAACAAATACTGTGCAAGATTTGTTTCACAGTGGTGTCTGCTCCTCAAGGCAATGTGGTCAATCAATGTATTTAATCACCTGAAAGGCGTGTATGACCCAACAATAAAGAAATACAGAAATCAACATTTCTTTAAAAAAAGTTCAATAAATGCATAATCGTGATCTCATTTTTGACCAAAATAATCATGATTATGATTTTTACCATAATTGAGGAGCCCTGGTGACATTATGCTCTATTTAGATTCAATCCCACAAATAGGCCTACTGACTAGAGCACCAAATGTGTAATAATCCGTAGCTGAAAATAGTCCCTAATAAATGCAATATTTACTCCTGTAATATGTGCTAAAAGCTACAATGCCCAGCTGTTTAAGAAATCGCTAAGCCTTTTTAAAGAGCTTTTTTTTTTTTTAGAGGTGCTGAATCTGATGTGGAAGAATCTGCTTCCTCTTTTTTGGGGTTCTGTTTTTCTGGTCACTGAGTATTAACTGATTTGTTTTGAGAAAGATTTGTTTTGTCAATGTTAATTTTGTGAAATTAAATGTTGAGTATTATGTATCAGTTATTCTAAAAGAAATATAGGTATATTCAATTTGAAACTGAATAGAATGTATTTCAGCCACCGACCCATTAAGAGGTCTAAATTATCACTCAGACTTTTTGCTCCAACATATACACTGACCGGCCACTTTATTAGGTACACCTGTTCAATTGCTTGTTAAAGCAAATAGCTAATCAGCCAATCACATGGCAGCAACACAATACAATAGACGCGGCCAAGACAACTTGCTGAAGTTCAAACCGAGCATCAGAATGGGGAAGAAGTGACTTTGAATGTGGAATGGTTGTTGGTGCCAGACGTGCTGGTCTGAGTATTTCAGAAATTGCTGATCTGCTGGTATTTTCATGCCCAACAATCTCTAGGGTTTACAGATAATGGTCCGAAAAAGACAAAATATCCTGTGAGCGGCAGTTGTGTGGACGAAAATGCCTTGTTGATGTCAAAGGTCAGAGGAGAATGGGCAGACTAGTTTGAGATGACAGAAAGGCAACAGTAACTCAAATAACCACTCGTTACAAGCAAGGTATGAAGAATACCATCTTTGAACGCACAACAAGCAGATGGGCTACTCCAATGGCCTCCACAGTCACCAGAACTTGTATGGACAGTCACATATCCAGATTTACTTGATTTTAATGGGTAGCTCGGCATACAAGAG